ACTTTCTAGTACAGCTTTAGTGCGCGGAGTATCTGGGGAGCTGGAAGCTGAGAACTGGCGACTTTGTATTGTACAACTTTAGTACGCTACTTTGTAGTACAACTTCTAGTACATCAGGGAGCACAGACCTTGCACAGGTGGCGCTGTGTTGGTCAAAAGTCCGGAGCGCACGCGTCTGACTGAGGGACACGAGGGACACGCATGGTGGAAAGAACCGGGACACTCCTATAGGTCAATTTGTTCTTATAGGAAACTTCCGCCGCCGGCTTGCCCGGGAACTACTTGTATTTTTTATGCGTCGTTTGGATGTTCGAGTTTTGCGAGGCATACCCCCAAAGCATACCTCCGGAGCATACTCCATAGTCTAACATCCCACCACCCGCGGTCTCCACATGCGGCTTAGGACCGGAGGCTCCCAACGAGGGGATCTGGTATTTGCACTTCCGGCTTTACAAAGAAGGCGGGGATATTTCCTGCAGGAGGCTTCGACGATGTGTTGCTGACTCTTCCTTCAGATTGAACTCTTTGGACCCGTTTTAGCTAGGCTAGGACAGATACTCATGACTCATGACTCATGATACTTTCTTTTGGCGCATGTGGCCAGCATGGAATCCAGCTCAAGTAACCGCTTTCAAGCGGCATCATGTGGCTGAAAAAACTGAGGGATGGACACCTTGGAAGCTTTGTCTCGCGTGGGAAAAGCTTTGGGGCGGCCGCCTCGGCACTTCCGCTTCGCAGGGCACAAGGACTGCCGCAGTACCAACCTCACGCTGGTGAAGTGCATTACTATACTAGTAACAAGAAACTACTAGCAACCAGTGCATCGCTACAAGTGCATCATAGTGTATCGCTACTTTGTTATTGGTTGACCACGACGCGGAAGGTAATGGATTGACAGTCGATCTTTCGATCGTTCAATCCTCGGGCTGTTCGACCCATTCCATCGTTCCGGGTGGTCACGGGTGCTGACTCACGAGTGCACCTCTTCGAAAAAAAACCGCGACAAGAAGAGGAATTAGCATGTTTTGTTCAGTTCAGTTCAGGTTAGGTCGAACATAGAATTAGTTCAGTTCAGGTCGAACATAGTCGTGGTCTCGCCACTTGGACGTCCATTGCATCCCAAGCAGGCCTGAAGAGAGAAGTCATGTTTCATTTGTTTGGCTGAGGGGGGTGGGGGGGAATTGAACGGTCTTACTGACAAAGCAGAGCTTGATCCTATACAGATTCTCTAATTCGCTTGACACGATCATCCATCCAGAATGGCAACTGTCGTATGGACTTCGTTTCGACTCACACACCATGACTACGTCCAGGACCGCTGCGCGGTGACAGTACAGCAAGTGAGTTGCAGCTCCTTGCGGCCACAAGAGCTCAGACATGCAATGCAGCAGGAGGAGACATGGAGATCAGTTCATATCAGTTCGTTGTATGGCTGGAAGATGCAAGATCATGCAAGAACCAAAGGAGTAGAGAAGCACACACCAGACATTCGCTTGACATCGCTTGACTACAGAGGATTCTATTCCACCTGCAAACCGAGATGTGGAGAAACATCCCTTCAACCTGTCCAAGATGGGTTTTGGAGGTGGCAGGTGATGTAGTTGCCCCTTAGGGGTCAACCCTAACAAACGGGATACGGCACTGTATACTGATGTGAAGTACTAGCCGCTAGCTGGTCTGTGGTGTGTATGCTACAATTTGGTGGACCAGATCTTTCTGATTCTGCAGAATGCTTTGACAGAAACACCCTATCGAATCGACAGCCACTCAAATTGGGTTCAACTTCATGTCGGCATTGCCGGGGGTGCCTCAACAGCCAGCCACTCGCACCGGCGTCGGCCGTGTCTCACCTCTGGGGCGGTGCGGACCCGAGGAGTGGGACTCGCGCTTGCAGCTCTCCCACTTGCAGATCAAGCGTCGACCACTGCACCTCGGCGACCTCTCAGGGAACCGCTTCCAGGTGGTCCTCCGTCACGTGGACCAGGCCGGTGCATTTGGTGCGCCCACCGTGTGTTGTCTTAGACCTCGGAATGATCATATCTTAGTAGTAGAGTATACAATAACGAATCTTAAGTTGATCGACCCCCCCGGTACGGGGAGTTTTTACCATCCAATCCTAATAGGGCAGTTTTTGAATCAAGATTCTACGTATGACATGCATGATACAAGGACTAGAGGGTCTAGAGGATACCGATGAAGCCCTCTCTCACCAGGAGGCTTCACTGGTGGAAGCACATCTTCACAAGTTGGAGGAACATGGATTCCTGAACTACTTCGGGACTCAGAGGTGCGGCCAGACACCAAGCCACTCCAAGCCACGTCTGACACGTCCGATGTTCGGCGGTGCATCGTCGCCATCACCTGGCAAACCCCAGGGCCCTAGGCCGATGGGTTGATGATGGTTGATGATGGTTGATGCATGTACGGCTCAGAGGTGAATTGGTCCACGTTGCGCATGGGACGTGGTTCCAACACCTGCCGTACCGGTGCATCGTCGCCATCACCTCCCGGTCGCCGTACCGGGACACTGCCGGGAGGTTTGGAACTCAAGTGATTCGCGGTTACCATGTGACTTGGCGTGGCTACCATCGAACCTGCGAACCGGCCGGCTCCGGGTACGTGAGGTGAACGATCGAGATGGTTGGAAGACATATGAAGACATGGTTTCGCCATGTTTCGCCGTTCGACGTGCACATAAAAGGGCATTACTACTAGTAGCAAGAACGCTACTAGTAGCTCCTGGCATTACCACTAGGAACAAGAAGCTATTAGTAGAATTTGCCAGCCTTTGTGCTGACTAAAAGGAGTGTGCCTTCGTGCAATATGTTGCGAACGTAGCGATGCCCTTGTTCCTAGTAGTAGCGATGCCAGGAGCTATGTTCGTAGCGTCCTTGCCACAGTCGGGGTCGGCCATCGCCAACCCAGGTCGGGTCGGCTCTCCTGAGCCACGACTTTCCTCGAGCTGTCCGTGCCTTGCCTGGACGAGATCTCGTCGGAGAAGAACGATCCGCTTCGAATCCAACAGTTCTGAACCATACTGAAAAATATGGCCTTGGATGGCCTTGGTATGTTGCTTAATTACTGGTTACTGAACCTAGGATCTTTGCATATATTATATATATTATATAATATATTATATAAGGGGTGTCCACTTAGGAGTGGCTCCTTTCCAATTAACAAGTGAGCCTTTGTGTAACAGCATGTTCAGGAAGAGTCATGGGCAGCGCACACCAACCTTTTGGCTCAAACCCCACGAGCTGTCGCCATCTGTGTGGCCAAGACCTCAGCCGGAAAAGCTTTTCAGCTTTCCCCTTCAAAGGACTTGAGGTACTTTTGAATGACAGGGTGATCACGTGGGCCATCATTGATGATCCACCTTGGCTGGGTTCTATTCTATGGTTGAGAACTCGACCCAATCTTTGAGCACAACAAAAACATACACAAAGAGTTTGGGACAAGAAAAAGGGTGCTGGAAAGATTCTCAACTCAGGGCTAGTGGCCTCTTGCGAGCAAAATTCGCAGCATGCTTTGCATCTCTCTTGTGCAAGCCTTCATGCAACGCTGCAACCCACGCTGCACAGTAGACCTTAGAAAAATCAAGTGACGTGCAGAGTTTGATGTTCTCCTTTTGCACCAATCTATTCATTCCAAGAAGCACTATGCAGCTTCTTTTCCACATCATCTTTGATTTTCCTGGTTTTGGCAGCCTTGGAGTCCTTGTCGTTGTCCTTCTTGTCAGCAGCTTTGGGCTTGCAAGCAGCTTTTGCTTGTGACTTCGCCTTTGGAGCGGCATTGTGACCCTTGGACTGTTTCTTTGCAGCGGCTTTGAGACCTTTGGCCTGGTTCTTTGCAGCGGCATTGAGACCCTTGGCACTACCCTTGGCCTGGTTCTTTGCAGCGGGAAGCTTGGGATTCTTGGGCATAGCTTTTTGCTTGGGTGTGGCACCCAAAGAACGACTTGCTGGTGGGACACTTTCTTGCTTTTTGGCTGCCACCTGCTTCAGCTTTTCTGGGTCCTGCATGTTTATCACCGGAGCATGCTCAGTTTGTTTGCACACGTGTGTGCCATGTTTGTCACATATGGTCCACTACAGCATGCTGCTTTTGCACAACATTTTTCCTTGCCTTGCATCAGATGCATGAAAACCTTTGTCCTCCATGCGCTCTTCTTCTGATGGCTGGCCCCGCTTTACTTCATCTTTGTACTCCATGGACTTGTTGGGCGCTTTGGGCTGGTCATTGGGCTCCATGGACTCGTCGTTGGGCTTGATGGACTTGCTGTTGGGCTCCATGGACGTGTCATAGGGCTCCTTGGGCGTGTCACTAACATTCATGGACTTCTCCTTGGTGGGCCCTTTGGGCTGGTCATTGGGCTCCATGGAGTTGTCGTTGGGCTTGATGGACTTGTCGTTGGGCTTGATGGACTTGTCGTTGGGCTTGATGGACTTGCCGTTGGGCTCCATGGACGTGTCATTGGGCTCCATGGGCGTGTCACTAACACTCATGGACTTCTCCTTGGTGTGCCCTTTGGGCTGGTCATTGGGCTCCATGGAGTTGTCATTGGGCTTGATGGACTTGTCGTTGGGCTTGATGGACTTGCCGTTGGGCTCCATGGACGTGTCGTTGGGCTCCATGGGCGTGCCACTAACCTCCATGGAGCTCTCGTTGAGCTCTTCCTCTCGTGCACCAGTGTACTCTTCAGCAACTGGCTCACCTGACATTGGCAAGGTCTCTGCACTAGGGGACGCCACCAAAGTTTCCACAGCAAAGATGTAAGGGAAACCGGTTTCTGCGAGCGCATTGCGGATGACCTCATCGCTGAATTCCGCATTGTCCTGTTTCAAGCATTTTTAACAAAGGAAAAACTGATCCAATAATAGACCAGCAATGGACAGGTCAGTGTGTGTCCCACAATCAGTGTGGGGTGCCATTGGAATCAGTTTGGGGTTACTGTCTTGACAACATTTGAGGTTGAATACCGGCTCAAAGCAAAACCAACATCTAAGGTTGCACATGGCACAGCTCCTTTTCCTGGACCATGAGGCTGGACAAGTCTTGATGGAGTTCAGCACGTCGAAGACGCTTTCTTCCATATTTCATAGGAGATGCAGCAGCCTCATGTTCAATACATAACACACTATCATCCATTTGTTGAGTGAACAAAATTTGGACACCACATGCCTTGACTTCCTCTGCCAAGCCAAGTTGGTCTTGCAAGCCAAGTTGGTTGTCCGGGTGTTCGAAGACACACTTCCTGCCCATAGGCGTCTCATCATATTCCACATCTTCTTGAATAACATTGAGGGGATAGAGGTCACTGAGATCTTCTTTCCACTCCCTTGGTTATCAAAGCGCTTCCAGATCATACCTCCTTGAAGACAAGTTGCTGTTTGGCTTTCAATAGATTGCAATGGCCAAGCAACATAAAAGATTGCAACGCTGTTGGATTCATTGAATCGTGCCTGTGAGAAAGACACACACTGTTGCACCAAATAAAAACAGTCTAGTATAGTTAGGTCCCTTGTCTTTAGCGTTCGCTAGCCAGTAGCTGGGTTGCAAGCAAGATGCTTGCAGTCCTCACCATCAACAGATCCCCCATCAGTCTCTTCAAGCGCGTCTGCAATTGTTGCCATGCCAGCCTCCTGCATTCACAGGGACGTTCAAACTGTTACTGCATGAAAGTAATGATCAAACATGAACATAGCAAATGATTGGTTGAGAAGTTGAGAAATGTTAAAACCAGACACATCTCTCCACACCTTGTTCTTGTTGGTTGTAGATGATCCCGTGTGTCGACTTGGTTTTTTGCAAGTGCGACCAGCTGGTTTTTTTCTGGGAATGTCCAGCAGCTTTTGCAAGCCATCCAAACCGTCCAGGTCTCCATCATCTGGGTCTTCATCATCTTCAAGGCCGAGGGGAACGTGGTCAGCGGTGTCACCATTATCCTCCTCTTCTTTCTTCTTTCTCTTTTTGGTTTCAGCCTTGCTTTTGGGCACCTTTTTCACAGTACCCTTCTGTTCTGACGATGACTCTTCTGTAGATGATGCCACCCTAGGTGGCAACCTATGGAACCCCGCGGAAGAAGCAGCAGCACAAGCCACTGGCGGTGCAGAGCCTAACAAAATGCACAGAAGCTAAAGCGGAGCAGAAGCAAAACCCAAGAAAGAACCTGAACAGAACCTTGAATTCCTCTCCCATGCCTGAAGAAGTGCGGCTGATAGCCACTGGCGCCGCTGTACTTTTGGGAGCCCCAGGTGCTTTTGGCAATGGCGATGAACATGCCCCCCGTGACGGTGGTGTTTGCAAAATTGAGGAAAGACTGAACTCCTTGGCCAGAACTGTCCAACATGTTATATACAGAAGTTCTTTCTGGGTAGGTTTGTTGTTGGTTGAGCAGGTCTAAATATTATGTGCATACAGCTAAGGTGCTGGAGGTCGAAAGGCCGTGTTCACTGAGACAATCTCCACTTCATCACCCATTGATCTCTCACCAGACCGACGTCTGCGGTTGGTCATGATTTACAAGCTGCAACTTTGAGCCCTGTCCCTTGGGCATTACTTTTTTCAAGGGCCACTTCAATGCCAAGCCAAAGCAACTTAATAGCTCAAGACACATCTACAATCTCACATTGCACAAAGTTGTTCCACTAGCGCAACAGGTTTGTGCAGCACTGCCGATTGCAGCTGCCCCGCTGATCCCCACAGAAACTTCTCACGCTTTGCAGGGGCCACCAAACAAATCACATCTAGTTTTGAACTGTTCAATTGTCACTAGAAAAAAATTGTTCATCTTGAAACGACCCCACGAAAGCTCCCCTAGAAATGCCAAACATTCAATTGGCTACATTAGTCGAACAATTGTTTGTCCAACTTCAAGTGCCCCAGAGAGGCAGGCAATGGGCCGTGTTGGAGTCAGCACCTTGGCGCCACTGGTAGCATCGGAGTCCAACCTAGCAACGTGCCAAGCTCCATGTCATTTTTTCAAGAGTCAAAACTGCAAGACTGTTAAGCGGACTGTTAAGCAAGATCATTCAACAAACCAGGCCTGCACCTGAAGCCAACAGTGAACTTTGAACAGTTCTTGAAAGAGCTGATGTTCAATGCACTCCCAAAGCTCGTCACGGTTGAACTTGATTTGTCCTTTTTCTTTTTTTTCTTTTTCTTTCCTTCTTCCTCATCCTTTGGCGGGTCAAGGGCAAACACCAAGCTCTTCTCAGAAGCCACATGATCGCGGGCATCATTGAGCTTGTGGTGGGAAATGGCCAGTTTGACCTGCTAAGGCAGCAAAGAAACCACATTCAATGGTTTGTTTTGTTATATCAACCGTGATGTGTTTGAAAACTGCATTCCAAGAGATTGGTGACAGTGAGCCAGCATCAACAATCTATATTATATATATTATATATATAACAGTCACAGTGCACATATCACAATGAATCAGTGTGCGTTTGTGTTAAGAACACCTATGACCAAGGGTGTGGGAGTGGAAGAGTTTTCTTAACCAGAGATGTCCTCCAGCCTCTCCAGAATCTTCAAGTTCACGAATCACTTCATTCAAGGTAGATGGAGTTTCAACGCATGGGAGGCCAGATAGGTGAGTTGGCATCCCCTTCTTTTCCATGACCAAAATCGTGCTGAGATCAATGGCGAAAGAAAACCACCTCCCTGCAGCGTCCTTGACCAGTTCATTTGCTTCCTGAGAATGGTGGCCGTGGTTGAGACGAGAGGCCAGGCTTGGAAACAAGGTGAAGTGAAGCAAGGATGAAACATTGCTAGAAAAGTGTCAGCACCATTTCTCCACTCACCACTTCCAAAGGAGAACCTGGGCTGCAGACCAAATGCCAAGTGTTTCAAAAGGAAGCAAAACCCGTATCTCAAGAGCTGCACAATCAGCCAAAGAACAGTTCACGATGTGCAGTCATGTTGTTGCGGCCACGGCTTGCTAAGTAAAGATGGTCACCATCAGTG